CCCCCCCCCCTTGCTGTGGTGCTGGCAAGCTCTGTCTTTGTTGCAGCCTGGGACATGGAGCATGGCCCCAGCCCCACAGTGTGGGGATGGGGGGAGAAGCAAGGGGTGCAGAGGTGGGGAGCGGGACAGGCAGCAGCCACAGCTGTCTCCAGCCTGCAACAGGTGCCTGCTTTCCCACTGCCTTGTCACTCCAAGATGAAGGGCTTATTTCCCCCATTTTAAATGGGGAAAAAAAACCCTTTGTCCTAGAATTGTGTAAATACCCTATGTAGCAGGTCTGGTATAAGAAGTCCTTTTGGGTATGAGCCAAAAATATTAATATTTAATTACATGGTGATTACCAAGAGGCCAAGATTTCTGAAGCCGATACCTTTTACTGGACCAACTGCATAGTTGGGACAGGGTTAGACAAGCTTTCAGATTCAAGACATTATTCATCAACTCCTCACGAAGATGACCTAATGAAGAATGTCTTGCATCATACAAATCGTCGATTTCATCCTCACCCACAACAGCTTTACTTTCAACAACTGACACTTCCTCCAAACCATGGGTATACCTGTGGGCACAAAAATGACCCCCAATATGCCAACCTCTTCATGAAGTACCCGGAAGAGGAATTTTTAGAAACCTGCATTGTCAAACCTGCACTATCCCTGTGTTGCAAAAATGATATTTTCATCATCTGAATGGAACACCTGGACTTGCATACTGACTTCCACCACAAGTTCAACAATTCTCACCCTTCTGTCAAATTAATCTAGAATATCCCTACGCTACCATGAACTTTCTAGATATTGTGGTCCATATCTGGGATGACACCCTATAATGTACTATATACAAAACTCTCCCCTGCAGATTCCCATTCTTGCATCCACAAAACTGGCAGTGAGTCATCCTAACACATCAAGAAAGCTTTAATTTATGGTCAAGCCCTCAGATACCACTACATCTGCCCTGAGAATACTTGTGAGACCACCTCACCAACCTGAAAATTGCCTTTACCTAGTAAGGAACTCCAACAGAGGAATAGACAGCATCTTTGAATGAGACATGAAATACCCTACAATAATCTGCTGTAGGACAAAAAGAAACCCCTCATTGACTGCAGACCCCTGGTTGTCATTCTGCTGTTGCATACTGGAACCTATGAGAAGGATCTTGTGCAACATCTCTTGCAAGTATACAGTTGGTCCAGTAAAAGATATCAGAGATAAAATATTGCCTTACCTACATTTCCTGGGCCATCAAGACTTCAACACGTACATGAAACAATCAACTGATCCATCTTTCTTCCCCAAAATGCACTCAGTGCAGGGGAAAACAAAACTCTGTACTCTGTCCCACTCTCTAGTTCATTACGTTGACAAGAACCATTCTTTTCAGGCAGTCTGTTCACCTCTTTTTGTTACCATATCTGACCCTGTGAAAAAATAAATCTCATTACAGAGGATGTCCAAGTGAATTGTGTGATTGTATTTTCAAAAAACTGCTAAGCGTCTCCCTCCAAATGTCAAGGTGTACTTTCCTGGGGCACAGGAAATACTGTCAGACTGTTTTAAGAATGTCTTCATATCTGGTATCAGTCACATAAAAATGCAGAACATCCTCTGACTTTTGTCATACGTTCTGTTTCTGATTTAGTGATTAGATCAGATACCGGGTTTGGAAAATAAGTGATTCAAGCATCGTTTGACAAGTGAAGAAGAAACTCTATTTCTACCATCTAGAAAGGATTGTACTTACCTGTGGTGGGATCAACATTCACATATACTCAAAGAAAGAACAGTTACTTAGGGCAACTTTTGTTCTTTGAAATATTGTTTTAATATTTTCAAATTAAAGAAGACTGTACCAGACATTACACTTTTTATGTTACTGGATTCAAAGCTTTCCTGAAAAGCCAGATCTTTAACAGTCACTCTTTACAAAGAGGTCAGTAATTACATCTTCTTCCCATTAGCAAAAATAGGAAACTAAACAATCAGAAGTAAAAGCTATTATTCTACAGACCCTGTGACCTTGTGCTCAATAAATTTCAAGACATGATCACATATCAATATTGTACTTTGAAATAAAACAACTGGCAAGTAACTGTGCTACAAATATATCAGACTGGATGAATAATGGAATAACCTCCTTGGACCAAGGTGATGATAGGTGATACAGAAAATAGTTTGGTACATGCGAGTAATTGTAGATACCTCTCTGCCGTCGCTGTCTGGAGCCCTCTATCACACAGGAGCACAAGGAGACAAAGGGTGCACACCTTGGTCAATTAATTAAAAGTTTCTAGTCTTCCTCTTATGAGGTGTGGTGCATGCACACCTACAATGGGATCCATGCTGACAACATTTCAAAGAACCATAATTACTCACATGTAACTAACTGTTTTCTGTATCACTTATCACTCATCATCTTGGTCCAAGGAGGTTATTCTATTTTTCATCCAGTCTGATATATTTGTAGCACAGTTACTTGCCAGTTACTTGTTTTATTTCAAAGTACCATGTTGATATGTGCTTATGTCTTGAAATTTATTGAGTACAAAGTCACAGGATCTGTAGAATAATAGCTTTTACTTCTGATTGTTTAGTTTCTTACTTTTGATAATGGGAAGATGTAATTACTGACCTCTTTATAAAGAGTGACTGTTAAAGATCTGTCTTTTCAGGAAAGCTTTGAACCATAAAAAGTGTAATGTCCTACAGAGTCTTCTTTAATTTGAAAATATTAAAACAATTTTGAGTATATAGAGATGAAATCAATACTTTGTTAGACTGCTTGAAAAAAGTCATTGCTTTATGAATGACGGGTTTTTTTTGTTCCTTTTGTGAGAGGCAAGGATCTGAAAGGGCAGGAAGGATACATTGTTTGTGTTTTAAAAGACTTTGTGCATTTATCATTTAGAAATAAGCTTTGAAGTAAATATGGTGAAACTATTTTAACAAATAGGTCTCATGAACCATAGCTCAATGCATAAATATTAATGGAAAAATAAAACTTGATTTTCAAAGCTTTTTTAAATGAATCTTCCATTGGTTGTCTTGAATTTAAATAATTCTGTTGTCACTGAGGAGTTGTCATTTAAGTGAAATTTTCTGCTCAGAATCCACTGTGCTAACATAGTTGATGACAAAGGAAATGGTGCCTGTCAGAAGAATGATCAGGAGACTGGACTTGTAATGAATTACCCTATTGTAATATTTGAAACTGTGCACATACACAAACGTACTGTTTTTGTCACCCCCCAAAAATTCTAAGTCAAATTCTGCATGCAACTATAAAATCATTTTCTATTTAACAAGGTTACGTTAACCAATCTAGATAGTCTAACAGAGAATAAACCTCATTTACCTCTTGTCCCTTACTATAGATGATAGCTGGCTTATAAGAAGATAGCTTTCTTTTTTAATAATTTATTAAATACTGTGGTTTTAGAAACTGGATCTTGTGGTTTTAAAGGATGAATTGATTTTTTTTCTGCTTCTTTGGCACCAGCCAACCCACAGGAGTGTTTCGCTGTTGGGCACAAAAGAGGTGAGGGTAATGTACAATTAGCTTTTCCACCCCAGCTGTCTACTTTGCCCTATGCAGAAAGCTGTTAGGAGCTAAACTGAGATGTTCACTTGCCCTGTCACACATGAACCAGTGCAACAGCAGATTTATTTTGCTTATCCATCAAAAAGGATTTCTGGCCTTAGGAGAGAGGTTTTTTTCAAGAATAGATTAGCCTTGACATCAAGATCATCCAAAGAATAGCAAACACTATCCTTAAGTGATTTAAGATCCTCTTCATCCCCTTTTCCTCCCTCCAGAAGTTGAAAAGAAAATAAGGGAAGTTACTAAAAATAAGGGAAGCTACTAGACAGTAGGAAGAGGAGGAACCAGTTGAGCTTATGGACAATAATGGTCTCATCTGCAGGATGTGCTAGAACATATTTCATTGGTCAGGTAAATTTGGTAAATTTTCACAAAAAACTGTCAAGTGTGGACTGATCTGTTTTAGTATAAAGCAGTTTTAGGATTGGAATGAGGTACTGATGTTTTGAGGTGAAGGGCTTTTGAGAATGACACCAAGTTATGGAGAAGCATGGTTATGCTTGAAGACAGGCTACAGATACAGGCGGATCTAGACAGGCTAGCAAACTGGGCGAGTCAGAAGCAGATGAAGTTCACCATTGAGAAATGTGAAGTGTTCCACCCGGGGACAAACAACCCCCTAAACACCTACAGGCTTGGAGGCACCAAGCTGACCAGCACCACGAACGAAAGAGACCTGGGGGTAATAATAGACCACAGTATGAACATAAGCCATCAGTGTGACGCTGTTACCAGCAGGGCCAACAACACCCTGGCATGCATCAATTGATGCATCTCCAGCAAAACCAAGAAAGTGATTCTTCCACTGTACTCAGCACTGGTGACACTCCAACTGGAGTACTGCATCCAGTCCTGGGTGCCACACTTGAACAAGGATGTGGTACAACTTGAGAGAGTCCAGAGAAGGGCCACCCATATGATTAGAGACTTGCATGGCAAGCCATACGAGGAAAAGCTGACGGACCTGGGACTATTCAGCCTGAAAAGGAGAAGTCTGAGAGGGGACCTGGTAGCAGCATACCGCTACACTAGGGGAGTACTTCAAGAGCTCGGTGAACAACTGTTCACCAGAACACCCATGAAGAAAAGCAGGAGTAATGGCCACAAACTCCTGGAAGACCATTTCAGGCATAACATTAGGAAAAACTTCTTCACAGTTGGCATGTCCAGACTGTGGAATAAGCTCCCTCCAGAAGTGGTGCAATCTCTTACCCTTGAAATCTTCAAGAGGAGAATGTAGAACAAAAAATGACTTAGAAATAATTCAGTCTTATTGAGATCTTTACCTGGCTTAGCACAAAATTAACTTTATTTGGTTTTTTAATCCCTTGAAAATTCATAATCTGCAAACTCATTTTGAATGGAAAATATCTGATTTTTTTTTTTCCCTGACCCCTTAGCCCAGGAGGTCTACTACTTCCCGGGGCCCCACATCTGGGACATAGCGGAGAGGATCCCAAAGATTATCCCGCCCTCCGAACACTACCCTATGCTCCTTATCCATGTGGACACGAACGACACGGCTTGGAGCAATCCTGGCTGGGTCATGAAAGCCTACAGGGCTCTGGGAGTGGGGGTTTGGGGCACAAGTGGTCTTTTCCTTGCTCCTCCCAGTTGTGTGTCATGGGCTGAGGGAGAGATGGGTCGAGGTAATCAACCAAAGACTGCGGCACTGGTGTCATCATGATGGCTTCAGCTTCCATGATCACAGTCCGCTCTTCGGTGAGAGAGGCAGTGGGCTGCTGGGAAGAGACAGCCTCCACTTCACTGGGGAGGAGGCTCTTCTCAGCCAGACTTGCTGACCTGCTCAACTGGGCTTTAAACTGAGCCCACCGGAGGATGGGGGGGGCTACTGCCACTGCAAGCCCACTGGGCAGGTTTTGTAAACCCAGCAGGCTAAGGCACTCAAGGGAACCCACGCCTACTCCAGAGTGATCCATAGGGAAGGCAAGGGCCCCCAATGAGATACTTACGTGCCTGTACACGAGTGCCAGGAGCTTAGGGGAAAAACAGGAGGAACTGGTCCTCCTGCTAAACAAAAAGGATTATGATCTCATAGGGATAATGGAGACTGGGTGGTACTCCATCTATGACTGGGCCACAGGTATAGACAGCTATACCTTGCACAGGAGAGATCATGTCGAAGAAAGGGTTGGGGGGTAGCTCTCTATGTTAAGGAAAGCTACGCGTCCCTGCAATTGACACTGGCACCCTGGGTGGACGATTGGAGACTCTCTGGGTCAAAATCCATGGCGAACAAGGCACAGGGGACACAATGGTGGGACTCTACTATAGACCTCCTAGCCAGGATCAAGAGCTTGACCAGAAATTTGCCAGGGAACTAGCTGAGGCTGCACGCTCCCTGTGCATGGTTGTCATGGGAGATTTCAACTACCCTGACATCTCATGGGAAGAGCACTTGGCCACATCCGAATGGTTGCAAAGCTTCCTCATGTGCGTGAATGAGCTCTATCTGACTCAAGAAGTCTATGGACCAACGAGCGGCAAAGTGCTGCTTGACCTGGTATTGGCAATGGGAGATGACTGAATTAGCAACCTAATGATCAAAGGGAAGCTGGAAGATAGCAACCATGAGCTGATCACCTTCACCATCCGCCGTAAAGCTGGCAAGTCAGTCAGCAAAGCAGAAGTCCTTGACTGCAGGAAAGCTGACTTTGACCAGATCAGGAGGCTTGTTGATGAGGCCGTAAGAGACCACGACCCAAAGGGGAGGGGAGTTCAGGAACAGTGGTTGCTCCTGAAGGGAGCAATCCTGGAAGCTCAAGCAATATCTATTCTAACTTGGGGACAGGCAGCAAAAGGGCACAGCAGCCCCCTTGGCTCTGCAGGGATTTAGTGGACCTCCTGTGTCTAAAAAGAAAGACATATAAAGGATGGAAGGCTGGATCCACCCCAAAGAAGGAGTACTCTGCACTGATCCAGACCTGTAGGAAGCGAGCCAGGAGAGCCAAGGCTGTGACAACTCCAACTGGCTACATGTATCAAGGACAATAAAAAGTCCTTTTTTAGATACGTGGGGAGCTGGAGGAAAAGCAAGGGTAACATTGGACCCCTGCTAAACCTTATGGGTCAACTGACAACCGACGCCCAGGAAAAATCCAACCTGCTTAATGGGTATTTTGCGTCAGTTTTTCACCAGCCCCAAGGGACGGCCCTCCTCAATACGATACGGGACAGCCAGGGTGAGGGAGAACTGTTACCCTTTATCAATCAATGCAAGTAACACCATGAGAGGCTGGACACCTTCAGGTTAGCTGGCCCAGACAGCTTACAGCCCAGGGTACTCAAGGAGCTGACAAGCATCATAGCTTTGCCACTAGCATGGATCTTCAGGAACTTGTGGCACTCAGGTGAAATGCAAGAAAGGGAGGGAAGTAGATCTGGAGAACTACAGGCCCATCAGCCTGACCTCTATCCCAGGGAAGATCTTGGAAAAAATCATCAAAAAGACCACCCTTGGCAAACTGGCTGAAGGCAACATCGTGAGGGATAGTCAGCATGTTTATTGCGGGTAGGTCTTGCCTGACCAATCTCATTTTCTTCTATGAGCAGGTGACCTATCACCTGGACAAAGGAGAAGAGATTGACATCATATATCTTGATTTTTAAAAAAAGCTTTCATTCTGGTATCCCATGATCATCTCATAGAAGAACTGGCCAACTGTGGCCTCGGCTACAGTACAGTCCACTGGCTGGGGAATTGGCTCCAGAGTATGGTAGTTGACAGAAGTCAATCATTGTAGTGCGCCATGACCGGTGGGGTCCCCCAAGGCTCTGTCCTCGGGCCTGTTCTTTTCAACATCTTCATTAATGATGTAGACATTGGTATCGGAAGTGGACTGGCCAAGTTTGCTGGTGACACCAAACTTTGAGATAAAGCATCCACACCCGAGGACAGGATAGTGATCCAGGCTGACCTTGACAGGCTTGGAAAATGGGCGGATGAAAACTTAATGGCCTTCAACACTGAAAAATGCAAGGTACTCCATCTGGGGAAGAAAAACCCGCAGCATGCTTATAGCAAGCGTAGCACTGCCAAGCCTAGCACCATGGCCAAAAGGGACTGGGGGGTCATAATTGACCACAAGATGAATATGAGCCACCAATGTGATGTTGTAGCTGGCAAAGCGAGCAAAACTCTGGCTTGCATCCATAGCTGCTTCTCTAGCAAATCCCAGGATGTCATCCTCCTGCTGTAGTTGGCCTTAGTGAGGCCACAGCTGGAGTACTGCATCCAATTCTGGGCTCCAAAATTTAAAAAGGATGTGGAGAAGCTTGAGCGAATCCAGAGGAGAGCTATGCACATAATCAGAGGGCAGGAAAACAGGCCTTATGATGAGAGGCCGAGAGCTATTGGACTTTTCAGCCTGGAAAAGAGCAGGCTCAGGGGGCACCTGGTGGGTGCCTTTAAGTATATAAGGGGTATACATCAGGATCTGGGGGAACGCCTGTTCACCAGAGTGCCTCATGGGATGACAAGGTCAGATGGTCACAAACTCCTTCAAGACCATTTCAGGCTGGACGTAAGGAAGAACTTCTTTACTGTCCAAGCCCCCAAGGCCTGGAACAAACTGCCACCAGAGGTGGTGCAAGCACCTACTCTGGACTCCTTTAAGAGTCAATTGGATGTTTATCTTGATGGGATCCTGTGACCCCAGCTGACTTCCTGCCCCTGGGACAGGGGGCATGACTTGATGATCTTCCGAGGTCCATTCCAGCCCTAATGTCTATGAAATATACATAATTTTGGAAGTGTTTCTCTTGGATGTGATTTTGTACATTAAAACAATTGATAAATATAAAACTTGCGGGTAACTAGTATGGAAAAAGGGGGAACGATGGATAAAAAATGTGAGTTAACTTTGTACAATATTAAAAATGGGCTAACAGTATGTTTGAGTAGGGGGGTTCATTTCACTGCTGCTGGGTAGTCCATGAAGTAACTTGTGGGACTTGATGCTGTTACCATTTTGACACCACGGTATAGATTCTTCTCTTTTTTGCTTTTGGTTTGTTTTGTTTCAATTCATCTGATACATGTACTTTTATATTCTATATTATGATCTTTGCAATGCACTTGAGATTCTTTGTCAGAAAAAGATCTTGCCAAATCTTTATTCAGTTCACATCAGCTTTGCCTACCTGCCTTTCCCGTATAAAAAAAAAAAGGTGAACAAAGAAATTGTCTTTAAAGCATATTTTGAAAGTCTGTGCTATGACAAGGAGTTAGGAGAAGCAAATATCATAATATAACTGAAAATGTTAATTGAAACCTTTTTATTAATTATAAAGATTTTATCTCTGGTGTTTCAGCAATCTTGTTTGTTATGGGGTTATCTTGGGAAAGTTGTAGTCTGGGATAACCAGGGATCACATTCAATCTTCTATAGATTGGAAGAGACTTTTTGAATGGCATCTTAAAGTAAATTGGAAAAATTGTAGTCTGCACTTCCTAATATTTTTCAGTGTTCTTAGACATTAGCCCCATGCACTGGAAGGATGCATTGTGGCAAAGAAGTCCGTGTAAGAAAGCAAGATGCATTCTTTTCAAGGTACAGTTAACAAGTGCTCCTAGCTTCTGCAACCACCTGCCATTCTGAGATTGTATAGGTCTTGAATTTGGAATCTGAATAACTAAATGTGAAACATATTGCAGCAAATTAAAACCTTGCTAATCACATCTGCTGTTTCTTTTGATTAATGGGAACAAGTTTATGGTA